ACAACTATCCTCCAAGTTCGAAATTTTTCTGATTTTCCTAAGTGCCAAAGTGTAGGGGTAGAAAAACTTGGCTGAAGAAGAAGAAAAAAAAAAACAAAAAAAAGGAAAGAAAAAAAAAACCAGAACGATTTCAATACCTGGTTCGGCTGAACTGCCGAACCAGCTAATTACCTATAGTTCATGCAGCAAAAATAAAATGGATTTACAAATTTGGGAATTACAACTGCTCCTTTTCTCCAACCTCGTTCAGAAAGATATGATTTTCCAAAACCAGGAACCTGCACACTATAGTGAATCTCCGGCTTTACTAGTAATTACATGTAGCTCATGTTCAACATGTTCAACGACCAAATTTGATTATGTGTGTTTACATGTATGGTTTATACTCACAATGCACAATAACTGTCAGTTGAGATGATACTACATCATCGCCAGGGTTGTCTGTGGGCACTCCATTGTTAGCTGTACAGGTGTAGTACCCAGCTTGCTCCCTTGTGATACTACTCAGAGTCAGTGTACTGGTGCCAGCATTGTACTCTGAGTTAAATGCCCGATCGGATCCTTGTTTCTCCCATGTGATATCACCGGGCATAGGATTGGCATCTACGGTGCAAGTCAGGATGACATTATTGCCTTCAGTAACAGGGTTGTTTGGAGACTGTGTCAAAGAGGTGAATTCAGGAGCATCTGTAGAAATAAATGATGCTTAGAGATTACTGGAAGCCATCTATGAACTAGCTACTGAGAACAGAGTACTTTTATTAGGTGAATATTGCAAATAAAGGACGAAATGGACCTTGCGCTTCTTAAACGCATGAATGGTGGTTTATTGCAGACTTCATTTTCACTTAAATTCATACTGATTTTGTGCGATTTTCATGCAGCAATGGGCTACTGCTTCAAGACAGTTTGTCATAGTAGCACACATTGAATTTCAATTAATAAAAATCTGCAAGTCTGCATCAAAGTTGTTGAAAAAAATGACTTACATTCCACATTCAGGGTGCACATGTGACACAAATCTCCACCACATGATAACTCAGAGTTTACAGCACAGCATTTGAATTCATTCTTGTTGTTGTATTTGGTTAGGACATCAGTTGTGTAGGTTACTTTAGATGTTTGTCCTGCATATTCACCCAGGGTGTTTTCTTGATCAGAGGGGCCAGTTACACTGACACTACCATTAGACCAAGTTAATGTAGTAGTTGGGTTGCTACTCTCAGATGTCAGACATTCCATGGATGCCAGATTACCTGCCCTCACATCACCTGGGCATTTTACACTTATATTTCTAGCACAGACTAAAACAGAGAGAATCAAAAGAAAATGTATGAAAAAGTTAATCCAAAACTACGGACAGTGAAAAGGCGTCACATTTCACACTGACAATTTTTTTGCTTTGCTTTGGCATTTATGAAATGTTTTTGCCTCATTTTTGGTTTATAAATTCTTTCCGAATGATGTAACTTACATTGCACATCAATTGGTCCCAGATACCCAACGGACCCTGTGGTCCAGGAGGCTTTGTTTGCTGTACACGTGATATTGTTGCCGTTATCCTGTCTCCTCGGTGTAAAGTTCACCATACTGCTGAACCTGTAGCGACTTTCTGATGTTGGTGAGTGCATAGTGGAGCTTGATATAGGTATCCCATTACTGGACCAATCAAGACTCCAGTCATCAGGATATCCCTCATCTGCTGTGCATGTCAAGACAATCTGGACCCCCTCAGTCATTGGTGACGTATTTCCTGTTATAACAGGTGTATCAGGAGGACCTGGAAGAGGATATAATGGTTCACGTTTAATAGATAACAGCCAGACCTTATGACAATGTGTATGAGGTACAACTAGCAGATGGCACCGGCCCGAAGAAAAGAGTGACAAGGACGGAGATACTGGATACTCGGGAGGTTGTAACAGAATTAAAATACATGTCACTCTCCAAATTAACCTTACTGTATGCCTTGAGTAAAGGTACTCCTGTGTGCACGGAATTATCAAAGGAAGCAGAAAAATCATTATCCATTAAACACATGAGGCTTTCTATCACGTATCCTTCAAAGCATTTCTGCATCTGTGTCCCAGTAAGCGGGCCATTTGGAGAGCAAGCGCTAATATACATTATATGATGCGCCATGTACTATACAAATGATAGTAAGGACGGATGATGGAAATTCAGTTTATAAAGTAAAATCCAATACAAATATAACTATTTTGAAATTAGCACAATATTATTTCAAAAAGCACTTATTGTTTACTAAGTAGCACATACCCTCAACTTTTAATGGAACCATCAGGACAGATGTTAGTGGCCTCTGTGACTCTGGGGTGCTTGCCTCACATCTGACCTCCTTATTATGATCAGCTCGGATTGGAGTAAATGTCCAGGTACCTGTTGTATCAATTAACTCATTCTGACCAGGTGGTTGTGAATCAGATGAAGTACCACTTTGCTTTACACTGTCCAGGTACCACTCAATAGTTGCTGCAGGTCTGGTACCCTGTACCAGACACTGAATCTTGTGTTGTTTAGCCTGGTCCACAGATCCTTGTTCAGTACCACTAAATCCAGAAATTGACATAGAAGATGCCTTCGGGGGCACTTTACCCAAAAAAGAAGAAAACTTCATCATAAACAAAAAATGTTCCGTTATGTAAAGTTTTTAAGCACAAACGTCAGAGTTGCCGATTTAAATGGCACTGATTTTAATACTGATTAACAATGTACATGTACTATGTTTTTAGGATCTTTTAATCACTGATTTAAATTAACATTATAAACAATTAAATTATTAAAAACAATTAAAGATGGTAACAATGTGTCATTTTGTGTTTGCCAACTGATTTTTCAATTCCTAGCTTCTTCACATTTTTCATGAAAAAACACTATGCTACATGTATCTGAGCCCTTCATTACCAACAGTATAGATATGAGTTATGGGTATCTACAGTGTGCTATACATGTATATGTACATGTAAGTTTGGACAGATTTATCATTTACTTTAAGTCACTTGCCTTGATTTAAAGACTGAGAACTTCACGCTGTGATTTCATTAATTTATTTAAATCAAGCAACCCTATATCATGTATTGTACCAGTACCTCTCTGTCATCAATTCATCTACATGTATGATAAATATGGTACACGCAAAACATCGGTTCCTTTAAAAACATGTTAAATACTGGTTAGTGACTCAAAGTAGTATAAGAAAGACCCACGCAGCAATGAACTCTTTAGGGATAAATGTACATGCCTTTGATTTGAAGACTGACAGTGATGTCTCTCTCTGTATCTGTCATTCCATCTTGTCTGTTGGTAGCTCCACACATCAGCTGACCAGTAGCTGGACTCTCAGGAATGTCTACAGTGATCAGATTGGAGCTATCCACCAGCCTGGCATCCATGCTGTTAACATTGTCTGTCTGAATTCCTTGTGGCTGAGATGTACTGCTGCCTAAGACTAGATTCCATGTGAATGTGGCTGCTGGATTGATTCTTGATGTGGCGCAGGTAAATTGATGACCATCATCAGCTACCAATGGGATGGACTCTCCCGTGTTGTAGGAAGTGCCGTTGTTGGTGATTCCAATCATGCTAGGAGGTACTAATTGAGAAATGGAGCACAAATTAGAGGGGAAAAAATTGGTTTGCTTTCTCTCTCAATTCAAATGCAATTAATGGTCAAGACACCTAACCTTATACATGTATACACACACAACATATACATGTACATACTGTATGTGTACATGTACATGTATGTACATCAATGAGTAATGTACATATCAAAGCCCTCTGTTGTACATGCACATTGTAGTTCCAATAAAAAGCGTAAATTTTGAACCACTTTTGAATTCAGGGAATACCAACATTTTTAACAGTTCGCCTTGTTTGGGATGTCAGACAGCATGTTGGGTGCAAATGTACGCGGCTTCTTCCCCAGACATTTCATTGTAGAGGTTTACCTGAACTGTATACAAGATGTTGGTATATTTTGATGGATGAGATTTGAAGCTTTTCATGGTGAAGGTAACAAGTAAACTAGACACATGTACAGTAGCACTATGGATATATCTCTTTTGTAAGTACATGTATGTGGAGTTCTCAAAAGAACCGGTACTCAACGTTTCGGACAGTATGCTCTGCCCGTCACCAGCGACATCTGGTGTCCTATTCTCACATCCCAGTTTAATGGGTCCTCTATACCCCTGGCTACCTTCCCTCACACTCTCCTCCCTCTGACTCCCTCCCTCTGACAATGGTTTGCCAGCACCCCAGTGACCTCAGGTACATCCAGAGTTAGCATCCTCCTCACACCTCAACACCCCCAAGCCACCAACTGGAACCTGAGTTAGCATCCTCTCCACACCTCACTGCCCTCTACATGCAATAAGCTGCATCATCACTGGACCCGCGGTAGTCTCCTACACTGTAGCAACAGCGCACGCTGTCCAAAACCCGAAACGTTGAGTACCACCGGTTCTTTTCAGAACCGCACATTCTCAAAAACAAAAAGATATATCCATGGTGCTACCACAAACCTACATGTATTTTACATATATTTTGATGATTACCAACATTTAGGGCTGCCCCTACCTTATAACTGCCCATGCCTTCTACATGGACAGTAACAGGTACCTTTTCCAAACCAATGGTATTATCATGCAATGACTGCACACAAATTATGTGCAAAATTGAGCGATTCTGACTCGTCAGGGGCTCTAGGCTTACTGATGAACTTACCTCTTATATGCACAATACTGTGGCCAATTGGCTCAGGGTTGAACGGTGGAAACTTATAGAATCGACACCAGTATTTGGCACCATCATCCAAAGTAACAGACTTCACAACCAACGAGAAGTTACCTCCATTACTGGATTGCTGAGCATCATAATGGTTAGGATCAACAGTGCTACCATACGTGATGCTGTTTGTGCTTGGGAAATACTCCAGGATACTGCGTGTAGGATCAGTAGGTGGGCCTGTGAAACCGGAGTTAGTTCTTTCCCATCGGATGGAAGTAAAGCCACTAACTTGTGGGGAACAAGTTACCACTGCATCCATTCCAAAAACAACCCACTGGTCTCTGGAGACTGTGACTGAATCGACTCCTGAAAAGACATCAGATGTACATGTTTTGAAGATGACAGGTGTGATGAAATTATAAACATGAGGCATTTTATAACAATGAATGGGGGGTAGCCTTTCCTGAAGTGAACAGTAGTCAATTAATTCAAAATGTCTGATGAGGGATTCACGAGTGATGTTCGTATCTGGGACACAGATGTGCAAATATAAATGTAAAATGTACATATGTAGCTCTGCATAGGCTTCACATCGATGAATCCTTGACATTTTAAGATGTATTGTGTGGCAGAACCTGTTATATAAAGAAACCTTGACAGTCTTAAAATCTGCTAAGTACATGTACATGCTTCCGGTATTTCTATTGATCTTTAGATTGATCTTTTTCTGTGTCTTTCACTTTTCAATTTTTTCCTCTCTTTTGACTCAACATCTTGATTCCTGTTTACCTGTCTAAATGTATAAATGTCACTTTACATGTATTTCCACTCAATAGCACAAATAAATAAGAACATGTACAAGGGACAAACACAATTGGAAGTGTCTTGTAAAAAGCAGAGCTTCTTGTGTACAAGACCCCAGATGCTATAGCCTATAATTAAGTGACAAATACAACATGAGAAATATACATGTACATGTATATTGGTTAGGTCATGTACATGGTCAGGTTGGCGTAGTGGTTCTTTCTACACTTTCACCTCTGTGGCCGGGTTCGATTCCTGGCTCAGTCCACACATAGATTGTGTTTTTAGTTCCACCCTGATTTTCTGGGTTTCACTTGCAATATTCCTGTTTTTGGCTTTCTTCCCACCACTGAAACCCCAATCTCTTCTGTCTCCTCGGCCTTGCTATAGGCTATAGCGAGGCCGAGGAGACAGAAGTACCCTATAGTGTAGGGTACATGCAGGGGTTTTCGACCGGGAGGGGATTTCAACTGCCCGTTACTATTGAGTTATAAAATACATGTACATACATGTAGGCCTAGCCTAGATGTTAAGAGTACTTTTGAGGAATCATTGGTTTCACACAGCTTAATACTAATAAATAACCCCAGGCTAGGCACGAAGGAAAGAGTTCCATTTAAGAATCTTCCTTTAACATGTTAAAATATAGCTTAAAAAAGTGGAAGTGTCTTGTAAAAGTTCAATTTGAAAACAAGATTTTTCAGAAAAATCTGAGGTTTGTGCACAGGGCCTAAAAGTAAAGCACGTAAAGCGTTCTCCGTATGTTCCTTCCTCCATGGTATATTACGGGACGAATGCGTCAACCAGCACAGAGATGACAATGTACAAGTACGGTGTACTGGGTAGGCCTACATGTACTAGTGCTCTTACCTCTGATAGGCCCAGTGTAAATCCAAAGAAGCGCGACGCCGATCCATGTCCGAGAACGCATGAGAAAAACAGACATGGCAGAAGTTCGCTTCATAATGCGACGAATACTACAGGTAAAGTCTTACAATAATGACCATGGAGGTAGGAAAACATGCAATGACGTTAGCCTTTCTTATGCACAACATGTCTTCAATGAAGAAGTCCAGACAGTAATATTATGTTGTACGTGTAGGCAAACCCTTCATGTTGAAGTAAAATCGATCTTTGGACAAAGTATGGGAGTCAAGTTGGTTAGTATGGTGGCCCTGAAGGGACTACAATTCTACGGTGTACGACTTACGACATATATTTTTCCCTCTCTAAACTCCCTCCAGGCGATGCAACTACCGTACACGACGCAACATACGGCACAACGGCTCCCTGGTGTCGTGCCGTCGGGTTGCACCGTCGTATGATGTCTTATAGCCGTCAAATGTGCGTTGCGTCGTCCCGTCGCCCTGACCCCATGACGCGACGACGCGACGCCACGACAGTTCTGTTGCGCTGTGGCGTCGCTTCCTTTCTCATTACTTTTATGCTGCATGTAATGCATTACATCGTGCCGTCGCGTCGTGCCCTGCCATCACGTCATATCGTCGCGTCGTACTGTCGCATCGTGCTGTTGCGTCGTGCCGTCGACCCGTTGCATCGTGCCATCAACCTGCCTGCGTCGTGTTCAGCCGTCGCGTCGTGTAGTCACGTTGTGCCGTCGCATTGTGTTCTCACCATCGCCAGCTCATTACTGGTAGAAATAGGGGGCGCCCTTAGAGACAGAGTTAAGTTTAACTTTCATTTTTCATGATCAAATCTTGTAGGCCCTATGGGTGCATTCCACCTCAGTGTTGGATTCCTGGGTGAAAGCTCATTAATATTTTATGGCTTTTACAATAAGACATGCCATAATCAGGAGGGATCATAGAAAACATTTCTATAAATTCCGAATTTGGGATTAATCGTTTCCACTTCGGGGTATTTCTTTCACAAAAAGCCCCAAATTGCGGACATATTTGGATAGACGCGGGCGGCTACATTTAGAGCAGAGTGCATAGTTGTATTACTCTTGGGGGGTGTCATAACTTAGATGTCCAACACTTCTTGCAGCTGGATTGGAGACTAGCTCCATACACGAGTTTGTTCATGTATCTTGTTCATGTTTTCACAGCAGTTTGCTACCGAGTTTCGTCTCGCAATGTGTCGCTCTTTGTGACTTCCACAACCGTCCTCCTAGATGTTACAACCAGTTCAGAAGGTGTAGCGACCCTTGACCTATAAAGGTCACACCAACAAACGAACTTTTAGGCAAATGACTTTCCTTCTTTGCCATATTGTTTTCGCGTGTATATTGTAGTGGACTGTTTGTTTTCCTTAGTTCGAAGTCAACGGCGCCATCGCCGCCGGTGGAGTGGCTCCGGTGGCGCGCACCTGGCCTGGTTTTGGAATTTTGCCGGCGCGTGCTCCGATCTGGAAATAGGTAGCCACAAATAGATCGCTTCGATCGGCTTCTTTTATTGGGTACGCAGGAAGTGCTTGGCTGGATTCCAGGGCTGGGTTAATTTGTTACATTGTTGTAGACCTATTCGCTGATGCCATTACTGCAGTGTCCTCGTCACTCAGACGCGCACTCCTAAACTTGACAAGGGCATGATTTTGGTTATAAATGCACTCCCATTGGCTGATAGGAAGCATTCAGTGTGCATCTCTTTGTTTACGTGCGTGGGGACACCGCAGTAATGACACCAGATTCTTGTCACTGGCTCGGTCTATACTTTTCTGAACAGTGAGATTTTGTATAGTGTGGAGAACGATCAGTTGTGTTTTTGGAAGCTTTGCGGCAGATAGCCGGTCTTTAATTTATTAAAACAAGTGACTGAGTTTGGCATTTAAAGCATTGAGTGCACTGTGTCCCCCTTTTCAAGCGTTTGGCTGGATTGGAGGACAAGAGCCCAGTTATAGGTTCACGCTCAATTGGTGGCAGTGGTGAGGATAATTCTTGGCCTTTCAACGGAGAAGATTTTATGGCGAGCTTTACGATGGAGCCCGCAAGAAATGTTGCGGAAGCCATCAGTAACATTTCCACTGAGATCGACCGGTTAGAGCGTTCACTTTAGGATAGCTGTAGAGCTAGTTGTGGATCCTCATTAAGAGCCGGGAGACGACAACGCTACGTACCGGACTCACCGGACCCCCTTTCCCAGTACCCTAGCAGCAGGCGACAAAAACCACAAAGCTTGTGGAAGCGCCAAAAGAAACTTGCGTCAGATCTTTGCGAACAGTGACGGGCAGTGTGAAGTGAGTCTGACAGTGATGAGCACCGTTCTAGCTATCCTCAATCTCCAGCTCCTGCCACCCGACTGAGTCATGTAGCTGTTGCAAACCTCAATATCTGGGCAGACGCGATGCATTGAATACCGATACCACTACTAGTGGATAGAGTACTGCAAATGCGGTTGGCCAGCATGCAAACTTGGAACGCACCGCAGCAGCACTGCGGGTAAAGGCTCAAGAGTATGACGGGTCGTCATGCATTGAGGAGTACCTGGTGCTCCTCGAACGAGTCAGCAGGATCAACTGTTGGAATCAGGAGCAGAGGGTGGACAGTATGATCGTTGCAATGAAAGGCCCGGCGCTGGAAGTTACAGGCTCCTTGCAAAGGGAGTCCCAGTCGTCCTTTGACGAGTTAGTCAAGGCCCTTGAGCGACTATTTGGGACTGAGAAACATTGCATTCGCCACAGCACTGAACTGACTTCACGGAGAAGGCGTACAGGGGAGACTGTTGCCGAGTTGGGCAAAGCCATCAGAAAGTTGGTCCGCCGAGCCTATCCTGACAGCAGCTCCAATTGAAAAGTTTTAGAACGTGCTGGACGACAGTGACCTCAAACGTTCACTATTCCTAGGGAAGCCATCCACGCTTGACAAAGCTATGGAGATTGTTGCAGAGGCTGAAGCATGGCTCAAAACGGAGAAGGCTGGATGATCAAGGACAGTGACGTCCGACGCCAACGCAGTGAAATCTGCGGAGCCTAGCTGCGCAAACTGGTGAGGTGGCATCAATGGTGCATGAACTGTTGGAAATACAGTGCCGTGGCAAAGGAATAAATAAGGCCGACGACTGTCAGCCAGGATGCTCGAAGTGCGATAGCCTGGACCTTTTTCAGGCCCGATGTCCCCGCATAAAGGACGACCAGCAACCGTTAAACAAGGTGAGGCTGATCTTGGGCCGGAGGCCCAGCCATAGATATCCAGAGGCCCAGTGAACCCAAAGTGAAGGCAGTTCCGCCGCTGGTGAGAGTAACCCCGCCGCCAGCATGGGTAGCTTCGACTTTGGCGCAGGCAGTCCGATCGCCGAGACGGACAGCCTCAACGCCGGCGCAGGCAGTTCCGCAGCCGAGCTGGACAGCCCCGCCGCTGGCGCCGGTGACCCCGCTGCCGGAGCAGGCAGCCCCGCCGCCGGCGCGGGCAGCTCCATCTCCGGTGTTGACTGTCCCACCACCGCCTGGTGTTGCCATACGACCAACATCTTCTCATGTATCGGGACTGTATGTCAGAGGAGAGATTATGGACATGGCTGTGAGCTTCCCGATCGACACTGGCGCAACGGAAAGCTTCATCTCCTCCCAGTTGTTTCACAGGACAAACCCTGACTCGAGGCCCACACTCATGCATGCAGATCGCAAATTTCTTCAGGCTGATGGAAGTGAACTGCGCGTAGCTGGGCGAGTAAAACTGCTTATAAAGATGGGGCAGTCAGATCCTACATGGCGTTTTGGTAGCTGACGTGAGTGATGATGTCATCCTGGGACTGGATTTGTTGCCAGCTAATCTGGGAGGAGTGTCTTACCATTGGTAACTTCAATGTCCCTCTGCGGAAGTATCCACAGGTGCCTGCAGCTTGTCGGGTGCGGATTACTGAGAATGTCGTTGTGCTCCCTTCTTCTGAAATGCTACTGGAGTGTCAAGTTGCCAGCGATGGAGGTGACCTGCCGACATGGGGTGTACTGCAGAATAAAGCGACGGTTGTCGAGAATCGCGAGGTTCTAGTGGCCAGTGCTCTTGTGCGTACAAGGACAACCGTGTTCCAGTGAGACTCTTAAACGTATCGCATGAAGTACTCATGCTCAGAGAGGGGACTGCTTCCGCCATCCTAGAACTGGTTGATAGTGTTGCAGTATTTGAACACACAGAACAAGAAAAACAAGAGGCAAGGGAGAGTGAAGAGCTGGGAGTACATGAACACCTGTCTTCACTGTTTGAGTTCAGCTGCGTAAGGTTAAAGGTTGATGAGCGACCTAGACTTGCAAGCCTCACTGGGACAGTTCAGTGACGTATTCTCTACTGGGGATGGAGACATTGGTCGAACTAACCTCACCCAGCACCGCATCGAGACTGGGGCAGCCCCACCCATTCCACATAGACCGAGGAGAGTACCCTTAAACCAACGAGAGTTGGCAGACAAAGAAATATCAAAAATGCTTTTGCAGGGCGTCATTGAGCCATCATAGAGTCCATGGAGTTCACCGCTTGTCCTGGTTAGGAAGAAGGACGGGTCTGTCCGATTGTGCATTGACCATCGAAGGCTGAAAGAGGTTACAGTGAAGGACGCACATCCACTCCCGCGTATAGAGGACAAGCTTGCGTCACTGGCAGGGTCCCAATTCTTCTCTACCCTGGATCTTGCTTCAGGGTTCTGGTAGGTAGAGGTAACTGAGGAGGATAGGCCGAAGACTGCCTTTAGTACCGGACGAGGTGGGCTGTACCAGTTTATTACCATGCCTTTCGCGTTGTGCAACGCGCCCTTTACTTTTGAGGGCTTGATGGAGCGCATCATTGCAGGGTTGCAATGGCAAGTGGCTGTTTTGTACCTCGATGACGTCATCGTTTTTGGACGGTCGTTTAATGAACACTAAAGATTATGCCTAGTTTTGCAGAGGCTTCGTGAGGCCAACCTGAAGTTAAAGCCCAAAAAGTGCTAGCTTCTCCAGCGAAAGGTACGGTTCCTCGGTCATGTCGTCTCTCCAGTGGGGTTTGCTACCGACCCTGACAAGGTTCGTGCTGTGCAAGACTGGCCCCAGCCGGCCACTCTTGCTGATGTTCAAAGCTTTCTTGGACTGGTGTCATTCTACAGGTGGTTTACTGAGGGCTTTGCTGAAATTGCTCGACCCTTGCACCAGATCACCGAGAAGGGTAGGCAATTCCGAGGGACCATGGGATGCCAGGAAGCGTTTGAAGCGTTAAAGCA